TTATCTTCAGGGCAGATGTTTTTATTTTATTTGGCTTATAATTCCTTACTAAATGTAGTATTTCATCTCGATGTACTCCGTCTTTGATATGATTTAAATCAAGTTCCTCGTCAATATAATTCGCTTCCGATAGTGAAGAAAACAAACACAGAGGTTATTGATAACGAAAAAATTTCGATTGACAAATTAGTCGGTATTCTCGACACAGCAATTATAGGACTTGAACAGCAGAACTTAGTAACTAAACAAGAAATTAATCTGTTTAATAGAATTAAAGAGAAAGTATTATCACATGAAAGGAAGAAACTTAAACAACTTACATTGAAAGAAATGTTTAATAAAGTAAACAAATAAATATTAAGTTTTTTCTTTTTGTAAATTTTGATACCCTTTAGATCTTAATTGTTCTTTATTTCATAAATTATGGTTTCATATTTTTAATTTTCTAATTTCTACATGCCATCTTACCAGATTTAAACTGATGATTTATAATCCGGAAAAATCGATAATCCGGAATTGCCGAAGTCCCGACGAGTTCGGATTAACGACTTTTGACTGTATAAGTACTCAGAATTATGGCCAAGTATAGTAACTGATAAGTTTAAAATGTTTTGTGTATTTTAAAAAAATGACAAATGGTGAAACCGGGCTTCGCAGCTATTTAAGCTGTAATTTTTATTTAATTATTTATAATTTGCTATTTAAGCTGTATTATTTTTCGCAGCAATTAATTTATTCAAAAACACAAGGCTCTGTATTTTGTTTTTGTTGTACAGTGGAACCTCGAGATACAAGTTTAATTCGTTCGAGCATTAAGCTAGTATGGCGAATTTCTCATATCTAGAAACAAAACTTCCCCTATTGAAAATAATGGAAATCCAGTTTATCCGTTCCGCACTTCCCAAAATATCAACATAAAAATCAATTTTTCTAATAAATAACACTGGTAAATAATATAACCATATTACCTTTATGAAAGTTTCCAACAAATGACAGCTTCTGACATCGACCTTTTAACTGCTTCTCATTAAACCACACCAACAAGAGCTTCTCAACATCTTCTAGAGTTTTGGACCATGCTTGGAAGTAATGGTAACTCCTTTGGCTACATCGAGTTTCTTAATTTCTTTTCCTGCTTTTTCAGAATAGTAGAGATAGTCGATGTCGAAAGGCCGTAAGTCTTCACCAATTCCGTCACTCTTACTCCACGTTTATGTTTATCTATGATGTCTTTCTTAATTTCAATGGCCATGACTTCCTTATTTTTCTTTACTGCACTATATGAGGCAACAATCTTCTTGGGAGGCATCGTGAAATAATTTTCACATTAAATGTAATAAATAATTGACTCAGAAGCGCACAAACACGTAGATCAAAGAACACCAAGTGATCTGACAAGTGGATTCGACAAGTTGAGCAGGATAAGCAAATGGCACCATGCATACCAACAGCCTAGCTTATTGCTCGTTACGTGAGTCAATGCTCGTATTTAGAGACAAATGTTTTGTTAATACTTTCCTCATATCTCGAATTTCTCATATATAAAGGTGCTCGTATCTCCAGGTTCCACTGTACACTATTTTCCAAAAGAAGAGGAAATGAACAATCTACACGATATACAGTCAAAAGTCGTTAATCCGGACTCGTCGGGACTTCGGCGATTCCGGATTATCGATTTTTCCGGATTATAGATCATCAGTTTAAATCTGGTAAGATGGCATGCAGAAATTACAAAATTAAAAATATGAAACCGTAATTTATGAAATAAAGAACAATTATGATCTAAAGAGTATCAAAATTTACAAAAAGAAAAAGCTTAATATTTATTCGTTTACTTTATTAAACATTTCCTTCAATGTAAGTTGCTTCGTTTCATGTGATAATACTTTCTCTTTAATTCTATTAAACAGACATAATTTCTTGTTTAGTTACAAAGTTCCGCTGTTCAAGTCCTATAATTGCTGTGTTGAGAATACTGACTAATTTGTCAATCGAAATGTTTTCGTTTTCAATAACCTCTGGGTCACTTTCTTCACTATCGGAAGCGAATTATAATGACAAGGAACTTGATTTAAATCATATCAAAGACGGAGTATATCCAGATGAAATACTACACTTAGTACGGAATTATAAACAAATAAAATAAAAACATCTGCTCTGAAGATAAGGATAGTGCTGACAGATCAACTTCCAATCGGCAGCTTGAAATTAATAAACAGATTTCGGATTTCAAAACATACTTTCGCTTTGTAGATACAAAATTACATATTAGTAAATATATATTGGAAATTCTATTTGACATAATCTTTCTATCATAATCTAATAATGACGTTTCTGCCCCCCCCCCTCTGCCGCAGAGCAGCGTGAAATTGATAAACAGATTTTGGATTTCAAAACATACTTTCGCTTTGTAGTAAATATATATCGGAAATTCTATTTGACATAATCGAAAGTTCAAGCTTACTTTTATAAAATTGCTCTAACAGTCTGCAAAAAATAATAAGCCGGATCCAATTCGAAGATTAAGGAACAACGCAATCTGCAACATTAACTGAATTAGATAACTTTAGCTTAGCGTATAACTCCATTACACATTAAACGCGCATGCGCACAAACATATTCGCAGCTGTAAGGGTCTTATGCGCTCTCGTAAACGCCTGTGCGCATGCGTGAACGCGAAAGTTTGTAGCTTTGAGGTCCGGATTATAGATCATTCCGGATTATGGGTGTCCGAATTAACGACTTTTGACTGTATATAGGCTATAATAACTAGAGAAAGCTGTCAACTGTAATTCAAGATCATGAGCATTCTATTTGTCACTTTAAATCTTTCATTGTTTGGAAAGAATGACTAAAACAACTAAATTTATGTTCGTCTATTGATGAAACAAATCAAGTTAATGTAATTCTGAAATAGCAGAAGATGAAGTAACAGAAAAGCTGGTAGAGGCATTTAGGTGTTATTTTTTTAATACTGTCACTGATACTGTTATTATACGAATAGAAGATAGATATAAAAAGTATAATAAATATTATTTTTGATTTCAAATTAATCACCGATATAAAAACCTTAGGAAAACATGGATTAGAAAAATACTTCAAAAACTTTGTGTAAAGTTTTATAACAAAGATGTAGATGAAAACCTAATCCAGGAACTTCATTCGCTATGGGATTTGATTTAGACTGAAAGGGATGTAAATGACACATAAAACATACCGTAATACACACTAAATAATAATGAATAATTTTTAAATGTATTAACTCTTTGCACTCGAGAAGTGATAAAAAATTTTGCTTGAGTAACCATGCGATGAAATTGTATTTTATAATTAACTCAACAGCAAAATGATACTACAGGAGAGAATCCTGTTTAGAGAAGATAGGATTAAAAATACACAATTGGTTCAAAAGATCAAAAATCCCCTTTCTTACAGCTATGATGTTCACCTATTTTAGGCACCAAGATATGACATTTATCTAATTTTGCAAACTCCATCTGAAGATGAGCCCAGTACTGATCCTAGACTATCGGCCAACACATGCAAATAAAATTGGTTGCCCTTTTTTTACAGAAATATAATATGTTTGATAATCATTTTGCCACCCTTAAATTTGTCTGCACATATGCTGTGCACCATCTTGCCCCCCCCACCCCTCATGATCGGCAATTGATAAACCACAATACAACTGAAGACTGAAACAACTACATTCATGAGGTGTGTACCACAGCTTTAAATTGTTCATTGAGCTACAACTTTAACTTGTTGTGTGCCACAGTTTTAATTTCCATTTAACTCTATGCATGTAAGAAAACTGCTCAATCATGGTGAAACATGAGGTTACACTGAAAATCAGCAGATGTGATAAGATTATTTAACTAGATGATGAAAACCTTTTCACTCAAAGAAGTTGCCATAAAGGTAAATATCACAGAAGGAAGCATTACTTACACTGAATTAACAAGCACATAAGCTGGATGAACTGTGAGATGCAGGTTTTGAACACAACTACAGACATGATTTTGAGCGACCCAAAAGTGGATTATATACACAAACAAAAGAGTGGCTATGAGGCAGTGCTAAATGGTGTAATAAATGCCATCGTGACACTGCTCTACAACACCTCAATCCCTATTTTGCTGAATTTATGTGGAGACTTTTACACACACACACACACACACACAAAAAAAAAAAAAAAAAAAAAAAAAAAAAATCATGCGATGTTGGAAGAAATAAAATATTTTATGCCTCCTTTTTAACTTCATTTATGTTTAAAGGGTTTATATTTTTATTATTATTTAATTATTTTATCTGGGAGGGGGATTGAAATAAAAAAAAATGTAATATATGAAATTAATTTTCATCTGAATTAAAATAATATTCTCAGATAAATACTTACTATTATGCTTCCTTCCTTGTGTTAGGGTTACTAAAATTATTTTTGGCAACTCTGGTGTCAACAACAATTTGGCAAAAAAATTTTTAAGTCCCGATAACAAAATTGTGTCAATGTAAATTATAGTTATCTCACAATGTGGAAAACCTGGCAGCAAATTCCACAGAACATTTGGCACCAATTTTACAGAGAACACCATTCATGTTTATATTAGTCTATTCTAGATCAAATATTTTCATGCATTGTTACCAAAGATAACTATGCCTTTTAATATATTACAGTTCTAAATTAATTTTTCTCAATAAATGCATTCACAGTTATCTAATCGTAATCATTTTCTCTCTTCTTTGCTTAAGTTTAATCATGATTGAGCAATTTTCTTACATGCATGGAGTTTTTTCACACAAGTACGTTTAAGTGCATAATCTCTGCGTCTATAAAAATCAAAAGAGTTTATGTGTCTATATTGCATTGAAATACATATTTTCCTTTTCTTCAATTTATATCAACATAAAAATGTTGATATAAATTAATTTGATTCAAAATTTCTATTTTAATATTTAAATACAGATACAAAATTATTTTTAAAAATTACTATATTTACCTCACCAAGGCCTTCACATACTCTGAGGATAATAAGAGGGATAACTCCCCACCTGGCTGCTACAGGGGTTAGCAATGTCATAACAGAGGTGCTTAAAACACCTATACCAAAAAGCCATTTGCCTCCAAATACTTCGGCCATTCGACCACCAGGAATTTGGGTTATAAGGTAACCATAGAAAAATGATCCTAAAATATTACTTCGAGTATCTTCTGACCATAAGAATTCACCATCCTTTAAAAATAATCATAAATATTTTTTAGAATAATGTTGTAGTTTTTGTTTTCATTTCATACAGAGTTCATACAAAATATGACCTCTCATTATAATACATATATCATGAAGTCTCAACAATACATAAACATCAACCAAACATCCTCATACATTATATAATACTTTCATTAATATCAGTCAATTACGTAAATGTAAATGTACTGTGTATAAACTACACAGAGCCGATATCTGAAACAATATACAGTATATCCTTGCTGAACACGAGGGTTAGCTCTTTAACACATAATATATACAGCAAAATCCGGTTCCATAAAGTTAATTAGCTTTACGGAACAGGATTTTGCTCTATGTATAACGTGTTAATGACTAACTATACGGAAGAAGAAACGGAAAAACTGTGCTAGGTATAATGGTATAATTCAGATTAAGAAAGTATGTATAATTTAAATAAACCTAAATATAATTGTTATTAAAAGAAAAATGTAAATAAATGTCAATTGAATAAATTTTTATTACTGCTTAATAAATACATGATACAATTATTTTTTAAGAAACTTGATGATTTTTGCTTGGAATAATGACTGACACAACTCTTCATCTTCTCTCGACTGTCAATTCTTTGACTTTTTCTTTTGATTCTTTTTTCATATTTGAAAATCCTTCACCACCATCTGCTTTTGCAATTTGTATCATTTGAAATTTTTTGAGAATTTTGGTGGATAAATACCAAGAATGAATTGAAAATTTATCGTCACTTGAGTTGTATTTGGAATTTCAAGTAACCCTTTTCTGCTTGGAGCTGCTATTCAGCATCATTTACAGACAGTTCTAAATCAATGTATTGAAAGAAAGTTCATTTATCCAAAAGAAATTGTACAGAAACTTCTCAGTAGTTTCTACATTTACAACTATCTTACGAGTGTGAAAGATGAACCTGAATTACAAACTTCTATAAAAGTAGCTTTAGAAGTAATGGCAGAAAGAGATTTTGATTTGAGAGGATTGGAAAACACAGATCCTTTAAAATTTTTTCTTACCTCTACAAATGTTCTTGGATTAATATGGAACAAAATGAGAGATACCCTAAGTGAATATATCCAGTTTCAAGAATTTGTGCACTAAGAAAATAACGAAAAGAACTATTCAAGCTGCTGCTCGCAGAATCTTCAGTCCTTTTGGGCTTGCTCCCTAACAGCCTTAATTCCCTAACTTCTTTTGTAATGCTTATGGAAAGTAAACATAATTGGAACCAGGAAGTAGACGCAGATACAAGAAAAGAATTTTTAAAATAGATGAAAGATGTGCCTTTTTTGCCTACAGTTGAAGTCCCAAGATCGATCAAATTTAGGAAAGTAAATGATAAGCATTCTTTACATGTATTTTGTGATGTAAGACATGTATTTTGTGATATCATCTTTGCATATGTGACAGCAGCCTTTCTTCATGTTGAAAAAGAAAATTCTGTGTACATTCAACTTAGACTAGAGCAAGAGCTTCATTCTGTGGAAAAAGAACTAGCACTGCACAATCGGAGCTTCTTGGTGCTACTATCGTTGTATGACTTTTGTCAAGCATATTAAAAGATCTTCCAGTTAAAAAAGTTTACTGTTGAATCGATTTAATAACTATGCTCACTAGGATACAAAAAGATTTATAGGGTGTTTTCATCCATAATAGAGTAAAAGAAATACAGTCAAAAGTCTCTAATCCGGACTCGTCGGGACTTCGGCGATTCCGGATTATCGATTTTTCCGGATTATAGATCATCAGTTTAAATCTGGTAAGATGGCATGCAGAAATTATAAAATTAAAAATATGAAACCGTAATTTATAAAATAATGAGCAATTATGATCTAAAGGGTATCAAAATTTACCAAAAAAGAAGCCTAATATTTATTTGTTTACTTTATTAAACATTTCTTTCAACGCGCAGATGCATACCTTACGCATAGCCGAAATTAGAAAATTGCAACCAGAAAACTATTTGATTTGTATTCGTGATATTTATAATGACGAGGAATTTGATTTAAATCATATCAAAGACGGAGTACATCGAAATTAAATACTACATTTAGTAAGGAATTATAAGCACAATAAAATAAAAACATCTGCCCTGAAGATAACGATAGTGTTGACAGATCAACTTCCAGTTCATTGCGCGCCGCGGCGTCCCCCCCCCCCGCGCGCAGAGCAGCGTGAAATTGATAAACAGATTTCGGAACGGTTAGATAAACAAAGGATATGCTTGTATCCATTTCTTGTAGCAATTCGTTTTTTGTTTGATGGACATCGAAACATACTTTCGTTTTCTAGATCCTTTGGGAGCTCCAGCATCGGAAATTCTATTTGACATAATCGAAAGTTCAAGCTTACTTTTATAAAATTGCTCTTACAGTCTGCAAAAAATAATAAGCCGGATCCAATTTGAAGATTAAGGAGCAACGCAATTATCAACATTAACTGAAATAGATAATTGGATAATTTTAGCTTATACCATCCGTTATACATTAAATGAGAACGCGAAAACGTATTCTGCACTTGCGCAGACGCATATGCGCAGTCGTAAATGTCTTGCGCGCACGAGTAAAACGCCTATGCGCATGCGTCTATGCGGCGCATGCGCAGAAAGATTTTAGCTTTGAGGTCCGGATTACGGGTGTCCGAATTAACGACTTTTGAGTGTATTAGATTTGACATCTAAAGAAACCTGGAGATATGTTCCTGGTACAAAGAATCCAGCAGATCTTCTGAGCATAGCAACCGAGCTCTGCGCAACATTTCGTATCTTTGAAATGGTACGAGGGTCTTTCGTGGCTCTACCTATCTGATGAATTGTGGCCTGTCACTGAAGATATTGCTTGTAGAGTGGAAGCGAACAGACAATGAATGAAGAAAACATATCCTCTTTGTTGACTGTCAGACTTTGCTAAATTCTCATCTTGCTGATTATAAAAAAGCAGTAAATATTATGAGTTGGATAAGGATATTCGTCTACAACTGTCGACATAACCAAAAAAAAAAAAAAAGAAAGAAAGAAAGAAAAAGAAAAAAAAAATCTCAGTGTATATGATACTGGTGAAGCAGAGAAAGCAATAATGTACCTAATACAACAAGAACTTCATTGGGTTAAAAGATAAATGATTACAATCTTTAGACACACTTCTTGATAATAGAACTACACTTACAAATGTACTTAGAAATATCTGCTGTAGTTAAAAGAGATGATTATAAAGAATTTAGAATGCCAGCAGTTTTACTACGAGAACATCCATTTGTGAAAAGTTTAATGTTAGATCACAGAGAAATGGACCTGCTGGTATCTCCCACACTTTAAGTTCTTTAAGAAAGAAATACTGGTTTCTTTGCATAAGGAGAGCCATCAAACATGCTTTAAGATCTTGCATTATTTGCAAGCAAAATGTAATAAATCCTCCAACTGCACCACTACCAGCAGATAAAGATGCTGCTGCATTTCAGATAACAAGAGTAAACTTTGCTGGCCCAACAATTCTAAGAGATAACTCAAAAGCTTCGACTGCTCTTTTCACTTGTGTCTTGTATCATGCTGTCCACATCAACAGAGACATTTCTAATAGCTTTTCATTGCTTTGTTGATAATGGGACTAATTTCAAAGGAGCTACTAGTGCTTTTGCATTAATTCCTTACTCGTCTCGCCCATCTCTCATACAAGCAACCAATACAAATAAATTTTGTTGCGCCCGTATTTCACACGGGCTCTGCTTTTGCAATAAAAATCAAGGGAATACTTTTTCAAGTTTAATGTTTGTAAAATGAGTAGTTCCTGTGAAAGAGATGATTTAAGTCTTCAAGAATCGGGAAGTTATTCAGAAGGCAGCTTTTTTTCAGATGCTTTTCATTCTGAAGCATTGGATTCTGAAGATAGTGACAATAGTGACGATCCTGAGCTACTTTTACCAGGGTGCCAATGGAAACAAATTATGCCGGTTATGCTGAGCAATTAGATAATGTAAAGGAAACTGAAAGGTTAACCCTGAAGAAAGCATGTATTGGCAAACATCAATAGAAAGTCTTCCCCCCCCATAAGATTATGTTATATAACTGATCCTACGAAATAAAAAAAAAAAATACTTTGTGAACAATCATTCTTATGATCCAGAATATCATCCTAACCTGAAACTCTACAAAATTCGGGCTACCTGTGAGCATCTGAATAAATTATATCAAAAAACAATTACTCCAGAAAGAGATATTACCATAGATGAAACGATGATGTTATATAAAGGACGTTTATCCTGGTGCCAATATATACACTTGAAAAAAGCAAAATCTGGTATCAAAACATACATGCTAAGTGAATCTAGTTCTGGTTATATATGGTCATTTATTATATATACCGGGAAAAGTACTTTGCTTCATCCTAAATTCTGATCTCTCTCGGTACCTTCACAAGCTGTTATGACTCTGATGATGCCATTACTGAAACAAGGCTACTGTATCACCTTATATAATTATTACACTTCACCAAAATTATGTCATATCCTTTTGACTTATCAAACAGATGTGGTTGGAACTGACAGACAAAACAAAAAAGATTTAACTTTAGAATTGAAAAATAAAAAGATTAAAAACTGACGAAGTTATGTCATTTAGATGTGGCAAAATCCTCGCTCTCAATTGGAAGGACAAAAAGGAAATACCAATGTTACCATCTTTTCATGATTCTGAAACTTTGAAATAATGACCCAAAGTAAAAAACTGAAAACAAAACCAAAGTAAGTAACTGACTGAAACAAAACAATGGGAGGGTGGATCTTGTAGATCATTACCTTTCTAGCTATCAAGTAGCGAGAAACGGCGTGAAAAAATCTCTACATATAATAAAAGAAAGAGTCTGTCTGCGTGTGTCTTTTGTTCGTGCTGCGCGTAAGCTAATAGACCCACGGCTACAAAATTTGGAACATAGGTGCATCTAGATAAGAGCCAGTGCACCTCGAAGCGATTTTTTCGAAATTCGAAT